TGTTCTCTGTAAACTGTAGCATTGCAATAAAAAATAAAAAAAATAAAAAAATAAAAATAGAATAATAGGGGTGGTAGGAGAAGAAAAGATTAAAGTGTTCAGTGAGAATCCACAAGGTCTTCTCTGAATACTCTTTATTTTCTTCTCCGAGGCTATGCTGAATATATGAGTAGCATATATTTATACATACATACATATCGCTGTCGCAAAATACATATTCAAAACATATATAATCATATTTGCCTAAAACTAGACTACAATACATATTTATTGGTGTAGTCAATATACATAATATAAATCGAAATATAAAAACAAATTTGAAGACGTTGTTTGTTAAAATGCGTAATTTTAAATGGATCATTACAGCAGCATTAAGTATTTTTACATACAATTGTTGTCGCGTATGTGTGTCTCTCCAATCTATTTATTAACAGTATCTTTTAAAGTTTATTCTCGTTTGGTTCGTGTTATTTCAATCGTACGTCACTCTTTCACTCAATCACCAAAATCTGGAGTAAAATAATAAGCTATATAAATTGTTTGTATATAATTGAGTAAGCTGTGTTAAAGTTTAATTATGAAAAGCCTCTAGTCAAAATGCGCAAAATATACGCAGTGTATGTTTTTACGACCGTTGAAATCTATGTAAAAATCAACAAATATCTGTGTCCCCTTCTCTCCTTCCTCCCCCCTTTCCTTCAATCACGTGATTATCAGCTGACCCAAATCTGTATCAACTTGAGCCCCATTAACGTCCACTGCAGCTCCAACAGTGCCTGCAACAGGTGTGGACACTACACACCAGGTATGTCAGGTGTTATCTGTGGGAGCCGATACGAAGTGTGTCGGGGCAGCGGTACGTTACACTTCACCAACGTGAGTGTGTGTGTATGTGTGTGTGTGTCTGTCTGTATGTGTGTGTGTGTGTGTGTGTGTGCGTGCGTGCGTGCGTGTAAGTGTAAGTGTGTGAGTACACCCTTACGGCGCTAGCCTCGCGCAGTCTCCCACCGCACCCCACCACGCCGTAGTACTCCTCCCAACCCCTGCCACCGACCCTGACTTCGGCGCATGCCAAGGCCCCCCCCCCCCCCCCACCTCTTCGTTATATAAACAAAAACGCGCGAAAAGGTACAGACGGATAAAGATGCTATAATAATGGAGTGTTTTAAAAGGGGTAGGAAAAAGGACGTTGGAACACAAGACACTGATGTCAGGGGAGGTGGAACCTGGGGGAGTTGTATTGGGAAAGTTGCAGAGTTGCAGAAGTCCACACCTGCAGTATGGTAGGTGGGTCGGTCGTAGTGAGTCATGCAACTGTGATGTTTACCTCTACTGATGTCCTCCCCCCCCCCCTACGTGTTTCTCTACCGACATCATGACGTTTTTCCTCCTCCCATATGACTTCGTTTCTCTTCTAAAAATATCCCGTGTTTCTCCTCTTACTGGCACCGTGCTTTTTTTTTATGTTGACATTTCCTTCGTCGCGTAATTCCCCTTACCAGTGATAACAGGTGACGACACCAAGCTTTAGTTAATCTGGAACGTCACCAGGTATAAACACGGCCATTACCACGTGAACACTGGTCACCATGTGAACACTGATCTCACTAGGTAAACATTAACGTTACCTGGTGAATAACGTTACCCGGTGAATACTAACGTTACCTGGTGAACACTAACGCTACCAGGTGAACACTGACGTTACCTGGTGAACACTAACGTTACCTGGTGAATACTAACGTTACCAGGTGAACACTGACGTTACAAGATGAACACTAACATTACCTGGTGAATACTAACGTTACCAGGTGAACACTGACGTTACAAGATGAACACTAACATTACCTGGTGAATACTAACGTTACCAGGTGAACACTGACGTTACAAGATGAACACTAACATTACCTGGTGAATACTAACGTTACCAGGTGAACACTGACGTTACAAGGTGAACACTAACGTTACCAGGTGAATACTAACGTTACCAGGTGAACACTGACGTCACCGTTACGAACGTTATCGGGTAAACACTGACGTTACCAATACTAATTACGTTATCGAGTGATACTGACGTTACCAGGTGAACACTAAAACATCACATAGGTGAATAGTGACATCACACAGTGAATACTAAAGTTACCTGGTGAACACTGCCGTTACCATGTGACAACTGATGTCATCATATGTAAACACTATAGGTGAGCACAATAATAAAATATTCAAATTAAACCATAGAATATACCGGCGAGAGGACGAGGCTCCCATGACGTCACCGAGCGATGCAAATAGTTAAACAAGTTGTATGCTATTAGGGGGGGGGGATTGACGTCACATCAGGAAAATACGCAGTGAAGTCGGTATGCATGACTCAATGCGTACTGACGTCAGCACGTACGTTGCAAGATGCTATGTGCAACAGACGACCACTGCGTCGTGTTGATTGTTCGCACTCAAACTTCCCGTATTTTCGTATTCTCGCCTGATATATATTTCTGTCTGTCTCCCATTGTATAATTACCTGCCACGCCTCTTGCTGCTTCCTACGCCCTGAGGCTACCTCCCACACCCTCCTAGCTTCCTCCCACAGCCCCTGGCTTCCTCTCACACCCCCTGGCTTCCTCCCACACCCCCTGGCGTCCTCCCACACCCGCTGGCATCCTCCCACATCCCCTGGCTTCCTCCCCACACCCCCTGGCTTCCTTCCACACCCCCTGGCTTCCTCCCACACCCCCTGGCTTCCTCCCACACCCCCTGGCATCCTCCCACACCCCCTGGCTTCCTCCCCATAACCCCTGGCATCCTCGCACACCCACTGGCATCCTCCCACACCCCCTGGCATCCTCCCACACCCTCCTAGCATCCTCCCACATCCCCTGGCATCCTCCCACATCCCCTGGCTTCCTCCCACATCCCCTGGCATCCTCCCACACCCCCTGGCTTCCTCCCACACCCCCTGGCATCCTCCCACACCACTTGGCTTCCTCCCCACACCCCCTGGCTTCCTCCCACACCCCCTGGCTTCCTCCCACATCCCCCGGCTTCCTCCCACACCCCCTGGCTTCCTCCCACACCCCCTGGCATCCTCCCACACCCCCTGGCTTCCTCCCCATACCCCCCTGACATCCTCCCACACCCCCTGGCATCCTCCCACACCCCCTGGCTTCCTCCCACACCCCCTGGCATCCTACCACACCGTATGACTTCCTCCCACACCCCCTGGCTTCCTCCCACACCCCCTGGCTTCCTCCCACACCGTCTGACTTCCTCCCATTGCACACCTCCGGGGTGATTTGGCAATGGTTACCTTTCCCGGGGCTATCACCCTGTTTCCTGAGTGCTAGAAAATTTGGCTTGCAAACAATTCCTTTTCTCCAGTTGTCACTGGCACAAACTAATGACATCTGAAGTTGATGGGAGTAGACCACCTGATGTCCTGCTCCTGTATGTGTGCAACTCGAATGTTTATATATATATATATATATATATATATATATATATATATATATATATATATATATATATATATATATATATATATATGTATAGTTACGAATATAGGTGCGATATATTCATGCCAACTTTGCACTTTATCTTGATGTTAATTACACTATTCAGTGCTATTTATTCGTCGTAGATATTTATGTTAAAAATTACAATTGTGGCGTCAAACGAACCAGTTAGGTTAACCGTCATATATACATATGATGGATAGGCGTCAAAATCATTAGCTATCCTGCATGTTAGATTAATCAAAGAAAATAGGCAAGGACTACAGTACCACAAGGACCTTATTAACCTACAATACGGTTAAGCTTCCTGTTAAATCTTAATGTTAATTTGCACTTCATGTTTTCAGACGGCAAGTGTCAGAATGGAGTGATAGGTTGGTGATGTTGGATATTATAGGAACTGAAGTGAAATGCAGGAAAATTAAATATACATAATTATGTCAATTTCTGGCTACATATTTTGTATGTTGATAAGAGAGACATTCTCTCCTAAGAAACATTCCAGTTTTTAAAGTGAGGAAATTATATGAATTTTGGCGTATACAATATATATTGTATACATTGTATATATACATTGTGTATATATTATATATATACAATATATATTGTATATATACAACATATATTGTATATATACAATATATATTGTATATCATGATATAATGTTTCACAAACAATTTTATTAACAATAAATAAAGTAATATTTACTTTGTAAAATGATGTATAAATGATCATGTACTCTACATAATTCAATAAAGGTAAAAGAAATCTATCGACTAATTATAAATTGCATTCAAACAGTACAGACATTTTTTGTTTACCAAATAACTTCTATTATTATATTACTTAAATTATTTTAGACAAATGATTTATATTAATTCTTATATAATTTGTTGCTTGTGTAATTATTCTGATATACATATTATACCGAAGGGAAGCCTTTATTGCCACAAAAACTAATGGCATCATGGAAGGCAAGGAATCGAACAGCGGTGACGTCATAATGGGCCGCACGACGGGCCCTGGTGCGAGACTAGGATGAGTAACTTCCTGACGCACTTGTAGCAACTTTCGCATAATGCTCTAATATCACTATTTAGAAAGTTATTAGATCGCACATATCAGGTAATTATTGTTTGAAGTGTGGAGCTCGTAGACACACATTGTAAACATGTGCTATGACAAATATAAACAAAATATACGCAGATGACGAAATCCTTGGCTTGTAGAGGGAAAACCTTATTCGAGGTGAGTCTCAGACAAGTACGGTCGAAAACTGCTTCTTCGTCACCAAGTTGCCGCCTCTGTGCAGTGAATGAATCCCGAGGTCGCGTCAGGCAACTTTGATCTCTAACGGGACCTAATTCACGGCCACGCGGGAAGTGAGCGCATGCGCAGTGTTGCCGGCGCTAAAATTCAAACCATCCAACCGAGTGCGCTGATTGGTCCAGATCTGTGTTATGACGTCACTTTCCCGAAGGTATATATAAGCCTACTTTCACCCGGGACGCGAGAAGCAGCCCAGATTCACTACCGAGAACATCTCTAGAGGAGAAACGTTATTGACGCAGAGGTGTACCAAGAGTACGCTTTAAGTTATTTGGTAGTGGTAGTCTGCAGCAAATAATGGCGTGTGATTCACGTGCTGGATTGGAGGCCCAAAAGCTGATCAGTATCTCCCTTGGGAAGATGGCGGCGTCTCGTGTGGGACGGACTGGTGCGTCTCTACACAAATCTCTGCTGGTGGCGTCAGTGTTGCACCGCGCTCGCCATGTCTTCCTGGAGGAGAGTTACCACGTTCACCGAGCCGCCCACCCCGAAGCTTACGCCCAGCCGCCCACTTCTCCCCCGCCCTCACCACCAGTCATCACGGTTTACGCTCCTTTGCACCCGCCGGCGCCATCTGCGACGCCTCTTCCGCCCACGGAGGATAACTGCGACGCCGAGGACAAGGAAAACCGTGTATGCGATAAGCAGGAGCAGCAGGCTGCTGAAGGAGGAAGAGCCCCGCTATGTGAGAGCAACAATCGTGTAGCGGCTCTCAAGAGACGTCGGTGTGTGAGCCAGCAAGAGACTCAGGAGGCGGTGTGGTCCATCCTGCCGAAGCGACCCCGCACCACCTCGGAACCTCGCACCTGCCCTGCCCCAGACCCCGCCCCGGACACCGCCCACAGCCCCCACCAGGACACTGAGTCCTGCGGCAGCAGCATGGAAGTTGAACACATTACTTCGCTCGTCTCCATCTTCAGCTTCGGTGGTCAGCGTGTGGACTTATGTGGCGCGCAAGCAGCCCGGGAGGACCTGGCCCAGTATCAGCCTGTGGCTCTAGCCGTGTGAGGGACTCGTCAGTCCCAACCCGTGTTACCTGCAGTACCTGACGAGGCTCTGGCCCACGCCTGCTAGTCAACTACCCAGGCAAGCCTCCTTCCTCACGCCCCGCCAGGATTATCCCACTAGAGTGATGGACTACCCACGCCCGTGGACAACTCCGTCAGCGGTGGACGCCTGTACTTCGCCAGGGAGGGTCCTCGCCGCCACACCTGCACCATGACGACGAGTGTTGGCAGGAGCCACTGGGAGCCTGGGTAGTGTTGGTGATGAAGTGCTCTGGTCTTGACCGAGTGCTGCTCAAATGGTGTTCTAGATGTAGCAGGGAGTCCTCTTTAAGTGGTTACGTGAGGGAAGTAATCTAGAGTAAAGTATCGGAGGATTACTCTTGAGTGAAGCGTTGGAGTGGCAGTGTTGGAGGAGGTGCCAGGGACGCTGCGGCTCGCCATGACGGTGGCCGCTGTGTGCGTGTTGCTCTCTGCACCCACACGTCTCATGTGATATTGTACATAAACTGTACAAAAGATGATTATATTTATCATTGGCTTTCTGTGCCAGTGGATTTTATGAAATATACATATATATTTTATATACTCATGTTGGAAAATGTAATAAAATGTCAAAAGTTTACTTATTCTATGATTTTTACCTGAAGTGAGTTGCCTGAACTAGGATGCAGCCACAGTGATCATTTTGAAGCAATTACTTAAATGTGGTGCATTATTAATAATAATACTTCAAGTGGGAGCATCCTAGTTTAGTGGAGACTGGTGGATCCATCTGGAGGAGACGAAGAGAGTTGGTGATTCCTGATCAAGTGTGGTAAGTGAGGGCTGAATGCAACGAAGTCTTAAAAAATTAAGACTGGTCGTCTTGAGAAAATAATATATGCACAAATATTTGTTTTCAGGTCCATGAGAATGATTGATTGCTACATGGGAATGAAACCGGTTCTCCGCATTTGACCCATGGCCTAAATTCCATCACCAGACTGCATAGCACCTATTTGCAATTCTTGCGATGAAGATTGCATGGATTATTCTATATACTATTAAGTATTGCTAGGTGTTTACATAAATTCAATTTGTCATTAACCGACAATGATGCAGATGTAGTATTGGCGCTTGAACTTAATTGGATATGTTCTTCATACAAGGAACTAGGGCTTAGAATTTAACTTAGACTGATATAAGCTACAAAATATATGGGTGAAACGCTTCATACTCTGACTGCATTTTGATAGCTATTTGCAAACAAATCATGGGTTTGCAAAATCCTCTTGAACGAAGTGCTCGGTGAATGCCACTGATGCTATAAAGGATAATGAAAAACAAACCAAGAGTACACATAACTGATGCTATAAAGGATAATGAAAATCAAACCAAGAGTACACCTAACTTTAGTGTAGATTGATGACACCGATTAATATATTCACACAGGAAAATAGGATAACTAGGGACAATACACAACTTGAAATTACACTACATGAAGGTCAGCTAAACAATTTCAGGACATTTAATGCAGACAGATTGAATGAACTTAGCTAACTAGGGCTTTGAGGGACAATATAATGACAAATTTGCTAAATAGGGCTTTGAGGGACAAGACAAGAAGGCTTTGTAGGAAGACTTATACTCACGGCTTTATAAAACGACTAAACAGGGCTTTGTAAGAAAACTACTACATAGGGCTTTGTAGGAAGACAACTATACAGCTTCGTAGGAAGACTACACAAGACATTGTAGGAAGACTTGACTATGCAAGGCTTTGTAGGTACACTTAACTACTCGGGGCTTTGTAGGAAGACTTGACTACACAGGGCTTTGAGACTTAGACTAATGCAGGGCTTTGAGACTTAGACTAATGCAGGGCTTTGTAGGAAAACTTGACTAATGCAGGGCTTTGGAGGAAGACTTGACTAATGCAGGGCTTTGGTGGAAGACTTAGACTAATGCAGGGCTTTGGAGGAAGATTTAGACTAATGCAGGGCTTTGGAAGAAGACTTGACTAATGCACGGCTTTGGAGGAAGACTTGGCTAATGCGGGGCTCTGGAGGAAGACTTGGCTAATGCACGGCTTTGGAGGAAGCCTTGACTAATGCAGGGCTTTGTAGGAAGACTTGACTAATGCAGGGCTTTGGAGGAAGACTTGACTAATGCAGGGCTTTGTAGGAAGACTTGACTAATGCAGGGCTTTGTAGGAAGACTTGACTAATGCAGGGCTTTGTAGGAAAACTACTAATGCACAGCATTGTAGGAAGACTTGACCAATACAGGGCTTTGTAGGAAGACTTGACTAATACGGGGCTTTGTAGGAAGACTTGACTAATACAGGGCTTTGTAGGAAGACTTGACTAATACATAGCTTTGTAGGAAGACTTGACTATTTCGGGGCTTTATAGGAAGACTTGACTAATACAGGGCATTGTAGGAAGACTTGACTAATGCAAGGCTTTGTAGGAAGGCTTGACTAATACAGGGCTTTGTAGGAAGACTTTACTAATACAGGGCTTTGTAGGAAGACTTGACTAATGCAAGGCTTTGTAGGAAGACTTGACTAATTCGGGGCTTTATAGGAAGACTTGACTAATACAGGGCTTTGTAGGAAGACTTGACTAATGCAAGGCTTTGTAGGAAGGCTTGACTAATACAGGGCTTTGTAGGAAGACTACTAATGCACAGCATTGTAGGAAGACTTGACCAATACGGGGCTTTGTAGGAAGACTTAGACTAATACATAGCTTTGTAGGAAGACTTGACTAATTCGGGGCTTTATAGGAAGACTTGACTAATACAGGGCTTTGTAGGAAGACTTGACTAATGCAAGGCTTTGTAGGAAGGCTTGACTAATACAGGGCTTTGTAGGAAGACTTGACTAATACAGGGCTTTGTAGGAAGACTTGACTAATGCAAGGCTTTGTAGGAAGACTTGACTAATACAGGGCTTTGTAGGAAGACTTGACTAATACAGGGCTTTGTAGGAAGACTCGACTAATACAGGGTTTTGTAGGAAGATTGACTAATACAGGGCTTTGCAGGAAGACTTGACTAATACAGGGCTTTGTAGGAAAACTTGACTAATACAGGGCTTTGTAGGAAGACTTGACTAATAAGGGGCTTTGTAGGAAGACTTTACCAATTCAGGGCTGTGTGGGAAGACTTGACTAATATGGGGCTTTGTAGGAAGACTTGACCAATACAGGGCTTTGTAGGAAGACCAATACATGGCTTTGTAGGAAGACTTGACCAATACAGGGCTTTGTAGGAAGACTTTACTAATACAGGGCTTTGTAGGAAGATGACCAATACAGGGCTTTGTAGGAAGACTTGACTAATACAGGGCTTTGTAGGAAGACTTTACTAATACGGGGCTTTGTATGAAGACTTGACCAATACAGGGCTTTGTAGGAAGACCAATACATGGCTTTGTAGGAAGACTTGACCAATACAGGGCTTTGTAGGAAGACTTGATGAATACAGGGCTTTGTAGGAAGACTTGACTAATACAGGGCTTTGTAGGAAGACTTGACTAATATAGGGCTTTGTAGGAAGACTTGACTAATACAGAGCTTTGTAGGAAGACGACCAATACAGGGCTTTGTAGGAAGACTTGACTAATACAGGGCTTTGTAGGAAGACTTTACTAATACAGGGCTTTGTAGGAAGATGACCAATACAGGGCTTTGTAGGAAGACTTGACTAATACAGGGCTTTGTAGGAAGACCTTACTAATACGGGGCTTTGTAGGAAGACGACCAATACAGGGCTTTGTAGGAAGACCAATACATGGCTTTGTAGGAAGACTTGACCAATACAGGGCTTTGTAGGAAGACTTGACTAATACAGGGCTTTGTAGGAAGACTTGACTAATATAGGGCTTTGTAGGAAGACTTGACTAATACAGGGCTTTGTAGGAAGACGACCAATACAGGGCTTTGTAGGAAGACTTGACTAATACAGGGCTTTGTAGGAAGACTAGACTAATACAAGGTTTTGTAGGACGACTTGACTAATACAGGGCTTTGTCGGAAGACTACACAAAACACTGCAGGTAGACTTTACTACTCAGGGCTTCGACTTATTCACTCAGGACTTTGTAGCAAGACTTACTCACACAGAGTTTTGTAGGAAGACTTACTCACACAGAGTTTTGTAGGAAGACTTATACAGCTTTGGAGGAAGACTTACTCTCACAGGGCTTTGGAGGAAGACTTACTCACAAAGGACTTTGTAGGAAGACTTACCTACTCAGGGCTTTGGAGGAAGACTTACTCACAAAGGGCTTTGTAGGAAGACTTACTCACACAGGGCTTTGTAGGAAGACTTACTCACTCAGGGCTTTGGAGGAAGACTTACACAGGGCTTTGGAGGAAGACTTACTCACTCGGGGCTTTGGAGGAAGACTTACTCACACAGGGCTTTGGAGGAAGACTTACTCACATGGGGCTTTGGAGGAAGACTTACTCACACAGGGCTTTGTAGGAAGACTTACTCACATGGGGCTTTGTAGAAAGACGACTATACAAGACTTTGTAGGAAGACTTTTTTATCTTTATTTAATAAAATACAATATAAATCATATATACATAAATTTTACAAGGCAATACTACATTACATATGCAGTAGTATCATTCTCAGTAAACAAGTGTTTCTTATTATTACAGAGCATCAACTTTAAACCCCTAAATGTTATATTTATTTTTCTTTAAATGATTTACAATTTTAGAGATTATATTTACATTAATTTGGGGAAATTATTACATTTATATATTTTATATAATTCTCAGTAAACCAATTTTCCATATCATCACCGAGCATGAGCCGTAAACCCCAAATGTTATACTTGATCCTGCCTCGCAAGAACTTCAATATTTTGTCTACTGAGTAACCCTCCTGCCTGCCTATCCACACACAGTAACCCTCCTGCCTGCCTATCCACACACAGTAACCCTCCTGCCTGACTATCCACACACAGTAACCCTCCTGCCTGCCTATCCACACACAGTAACCCTGCAGCCTGCCTATCCACACACAGTAACCCTCCTGCCTGACTATCCACACACAGTAACCCTCCTGCCTGCCTATCCACACACAGTAACCCTGCAGCCTGCCTATCCACACACAGTAACCCTCCTGCCTGCCTATCCACTCACAAAAAATGTAATCAGAAAGTAGCATAATTATCGTATTCTTAATTTTCTTGCATTTAATGTCAATATGCAACATTAAAAAACCCTAACTCTTCTCTAATATTTTTTTGGTCCACATAAAAATCCAGTTTACAAGAACAACTTTATGCTTACAGAAATAAAATATATGCATATTCTCAAACTTGACTAATACAGGGCTTTGTAGGAAGACTTAAATATGCAGGGTTTTAAAAGGAAGATTTGACTACACAGGACTTAGTACTGGTAATGGCTTCAAACAGCCTCCACTTACAGGATATTCATGCCCGTGTCACCTCTGGGGTGGCTTAATCATCATCAATCAATTACACAGGGCTTGTAGGACGATGACTATGGCTATTGATACACATGAATAAAGATCTAAAACTATGAAATCACTTAGATAATACAGTGCGGTTTTGACAGACTGAATAAGTTCTTTGGGACACAAAAAAAGATAATA